GGTGAACACACGTTACCATGTAGAACAAGGTTTTTGAGTGAAGAGAAGCACATTGATACGATAATGGTCATTTAGTGCAGGGGACAAATAATGCAGACAAAGCCAGATGAAAAGAAATGAAGTAGATAAAAGCCACCAGTGACACCCTCTGACCTCCCACTAACAGTGTGTGATGTAGGCTAGGCTACACTGGCCACTAGAGCAGTTCTGCTGATTCAGATTGACTGTCTCACAGTGCCAGTATGTGTACTATGTGCTATGTAATCTTGATAAATTAATGTGTATTATAACATCGTCCCCTGTCCTAGTCCAAAATGCTGACGGATAAATTTTACTGGAGAAACAAAAAATGAGATGCAATGTTCTTGCGATGTGATTTTTGAGTCGGAGCAAAGCTTTATCTTTATCATCACTCTAAATGTTGTCCCCTTGTGTTAGAGACTTATGATTTGGAGGAGGGGGGAGGGAAAATTTTGCCCGCTGGGAACAGTGCACCAAGACAGACAAGTGTAGGTTTTTTAGAAAGCACAATTAGTAGTAGGCCTTCATCAGAAAAATTTGTGCTTCAACTCCATCTCCAAGTTATTTTTCCCCTGACCCTGAAAAGTATGACAAGTGAAGATGACCTACAGTACTCATCTCTTTTGTGAAAGTGAAAGTGACCAATATTTTATTCATCCAAAACGCAAAGCTTCTGAAATTGTCGTTTCTTAGTAAAATTTAGGTACGGTAAGTTCCAGTAACACCTGTGTGTACTGGAGCAAATATGCACTCTATTTGACAAGCTTAATTAAAAACACAACACACAACATAAAACACAAATCTATTTGGCAAATGAGTTTATTATACACTGAAACATACAAAAGTCGTTGGCAAAAACTGAATTAAGAGTCATGAAATAATTTAAGCGAAGATCAACATACGTACACAGTAAAAAAAAATGTTTAATTTATTCATGTGACACTGAAAAAGAAACATATTCACATTCAGATGAAACACTGACAAAACATGATGGTGCTTATGTACAAAGCTTACACTACTTACATCTGTTTGATTCATAGTACGACAACTAGGACAAGCCAAACACACGTCACATAGACAAGGCCTCAAAACAACACATGTGTCACATATGCTACACAAGTGCCCAGCATAAGACATGTGTCACACACTATGTACCTGAGGCCTCAGCACAACACTCTCCTCACATATGAACACAGGGTCTCAACTTTACACACATCTCATATACTATGATAATGCAGCACAACACGTCTGCCATGTAAATAAGGTGTTGGCACAACACATGATATCATAGAGGACTCATACAAGGCCTCGGCACAACGCGCATGTCAGAATGTGACACTTTGGTACAGCACATACGTTGCACACACAAGGCCTCAAGACAATGTGTCATATACATTGAGAGGTTGTCTCGGGTTTGCCCACAGGTGTCAGGAATATAGTTAGTGCCAGGGAGCCAAACATAACAACCATGTTCCATTACACGGCTATGTTTCTTCTCTGGGTTGCTCAGGGTAAAAATTCATCTCGTGAGATTGCAGAAAATGAACTTTTTCCAACATTTGTATTTTACACTCTGAACAGTACATAAGGATAGCCTAAAACTGAGTGTTAACAAGAAGGCCCACATAACTTCACAACTCAACAACACCACCCACAACCAAACAGTTCATTTCAATGCACCACCTCAGTGACCCCCCCCCCCCCTCATTAGTCATATAACTCCTTGATTCTTAGACACCAGACCCTCACTGCCTATCACATACGGAAGTCTTCACTTCCCTTCTCCCTCTACAAAAACCCATGACGATTGTCTTCAGCTGGACACTTCCATACCCTTACTCCAGGGTCCTAAACAACCACTGAACACAACTACTTTTGATTGGCTGATTAGCTACAAGACATTTGTTTCAAAAGTTTAATGGTACTTGCAACACAATTAGGCCATACAAGTGCTGGAGGCTAAATGTGATACACGAAAGTAACAAACATAAAATGGAGAGATAAGGACGAAGAAAGGAAAGAAGAAGCAACCCACAGCACAGCACCCACCAACTACCCACAGTCAGAAGACACGAGTGATTCTCGTTTGTTCTAATGACAAATTCTCATGGTCCAACCAACAGAAAAATGTATCCTCAACACTTAATGCAATATCAAAAGAGGTTTAACCCTGACAAACAGGAACGGACTGCCTTAGATGTCAATCAATGTGTGAGAGATTACAAGTGCCTGCCATACAACAGACAGGCTGTAAATCCTCAACAAACCCTTAGTCACAGCAGACATTCATTCATTCACAATTCCCCCCCCCCCCACCTCCCAATCCACCCACATCTTTCACTTTTTCTAATTAAAAGACCATGTGGTTTTAAACACAGCATGGAGACAATCTATTGCTCTGCCAGATATATCTACGGAGACTGCAAGCAAAGAGCAAAACCTACATAACTGCATAATGGACACTTCGGCATGAAGTACAATTCTCTTTCTTCATCTGAGTGAGGGTAAATTCAGCCATCAAATAGCCCTGAGCAAACTGAACAAGATTCATAATTTATTCTTCACTAGTAGTGGGGGCGTTTACACTGGACTGAACACACCCCCCCAAGGAGTGTTGGACTGGGCTGGCAGCCTCACAAGAAAATGGCAAGGAAAATTGATCTCAATTATGTCCATGGACGCATAAAATATTTCCAATCAAGAAGAATTGTGGGACACTGTAACTTTCAATTCTTTAGTCAGATATTTAGTGCAGTAACCTGCACACCAACTAACAATTTCACACCCATGAACCAGAAAAAGATTTTTAACAAACTAGGGAGGCCTGCCCTCAAATGGAAACAAAAACAAAATAAGTCTTCACACTATCAGCAGTGGCTAGCCACAACCTGAACCAGGAAAAGGAACACCTCGGTTTGAATTCAGATCAATACATCTTAAAGAGACTAGCAATACTCTTTGACAGTAAATGCTCTACACCCCCACAAACACAATTTAGACGATCTGGAAGGCAGGCTGCCTTAAAAAGCCAAACAACTGTACAAAAGACGCCACTGTCAATGAATAAGTTTGATCTCCTGATTCGTGTCATAAAAATTACACATCGGTCAGCAGAATCGGTACAACAACCCAACGTGTACATGGCACAAAATCTTGTTCAACTATGAGCAAAACGAGAAATGCAAATCACCCTAATTCTACGACAAACCCCAAGAAAACAGACTAATCCCCCATATAAAAATCACAACAGGAACCACCACTCAATGTTACAACTTCCAATCAATCTACTGCTGCCTCAAAAAATTCCCAGCAAACCAAACTGGCCAATGATCACGCACCACACAAGCCTCCAAGCACAAACACTACAGCACATACAGGGAAAACCCCCTCCAGGGCAGACGTAGCAGAGAAGTTGAGGCTTGCTCACGTCAGATCATATCAACAGAACACTTTGGTAAATAACAACAACTGCCTTTACAAGCTGGCTAGGATGAAGCCAGCAATGCTCTTCATCAGTAAGACCACACTATAGAAAAACTGGAGATCGTAAGTTTCTAAAAGTAACAGGCCCCAGCAGGAATCGAACAGCTCAACCACCTCTTCTTTTGATATATAATATATATATAATATACAGTAGAACACGGCTATAGCAGGACTTTTGGTTCCAGAGGAAAAATCTCGCTGTTGGCGAGTTCCCGCTAAAGGTAAGCAAAGAGGATTTACCCAATTAAAATAGGAAAATCCACATGATGACCTCCCTTACATATCAATAAAATTTGGTCTTTAGCTTAGACTTCCTTTTCTCGTCAATTATTATCTCAGCCTTCAATTCGAGTGGGAAGCATTTCCTTTTGACTTTGTTGGAAGCCATCTTTTCCTCGGTCTTGTTGCTTGTGCTGTCTATCGTACAGGTAGGCCTGCTGTAGAACTGGTGAGGTGGATTCGTGCATATGCCTGAGCATCAACAATAGCAATTTAATGAATCAGGAATCAGACACTACATGCTCTAATCTTCTTTTACTTTCTGGCCTAGCCTGGGGCTATGGCCTATATATGCTCTTATACAGAGCGTCTAGGCTATAGCACATCACTTTTAGAGTGGCTCACGTAACGCGTCTCTCTCTGCCGCCTACCCACCTCACTCATCACTGGACAGGCCAATCACAACGCTGCATCGCTGAGTGCCTGTTGAGAGCCCACCTTCAGCCTCCCACCCCCTTTCCCCAGCTAGAGCTTGCTTGATCTCTCGCGCTGTATCAAGTTCGGGCCTCACCTTGCCCCGTTATACCCAGGCATAGGTAATTGAGTTTACATAGAGACTAGAAGGGGGATTCTTGTACGATCCCGCTGCAGGGATGGTCCCGCTGTAGTAGGTCCCGCTATAGTCATGTTCTACAGTACAAAGACATTGGGTGAACACACAAACCCGCTCAGCCAAAGACATAAAAAAGAAGCATTCAGCATTCACTCATTTCACAGCCAGCCACACTCACAGAAACACAAACTTGTAGCAAAGACTCTAAGATTATACACCTTGAGAGGGTTATCTTTCACTCAGTATTAACAACATCCACTATTACGCACAGAAATAACACATGTTATGGCGAGGGAAAGTCTGCGGTACGGTAACTAAAACATATGATTGGCAACAAAAAAAACTGAGGACAACAGCACAGACCAGAATTGGCTGGCTAGCTGAGATGTTTTTACTGGCTCCACCCCGTGCCTGAGTGACAGGAAATGGTTTACACAAACATTTCTCTACAATCACCGATTGTCGAGTAGGTAGTCTTGGTCTACAGAGACTGCCAGAACTACACGTCCAATAATGGTCACAAACTCAGTACCTCCGTGACCTAAATTCAGGCATTGGTAACAAATTCTGAAAGTCGCTGACCTAAATTCGGAAATTGACATTATTTATGTCAATGACGCACAGCACAGCACAAAGCTCTCTCTCTCTCTCGTGACATACAGGCATCAACAACAGAGTCATACGTAATAAACAGGTCCTGTTCTCCTGGTACCTACACCACACTCCATAACATTCACCCTCTTTCATACAGATCCACCATCATTATCTCGCTTGTTTCTTGGCACGCTCTCCGTTTTGCCTCACAGCCTGCGGGCCGCCACCACCACCACCGCTGCTCTCTTTGGCTTCTTTGTTGGCCGCAGCAGGCATGCCTTCTTTGCCGCCCTGGTGAGGCCCTTTCTTTTTCTTGCCGCCCAGACTGTGACCTTTCCTCATCTTGCCCACATATGCCTCTACCAACTGCTGAATCTTTTGCGGGTTGATGTTCCCACTCTTGCTGTGGCAGACCTGAAAGACAAGTTTGTTTGGAAAAAGAGAGAAATACATCTACACCTATAATGGGTTATGAAAAAAAAAAAGGGACATACTTAATAAACTGCACAGATTCTCCTCAACACATGACTTACAGGGCAATACCCCAACCCCTGTCCTTTAAGTCTTAATTCTAATTTTATACTTCTCCTTACTATCCTTCCATCAGAAATAACACAAAGACAGGAGACGTCTCACAGACACAAGTAAAATCTTAATTTATACCCGACTATTTTCAACTTCGGAAAACATTTGTGCTCACTAAATGTGACAAAATAGCAATGAAAATGAATTGTGCCACGACGTGGTGGAATCAAGCGCTCATCAATTTTTGGGCATGTAAGGTTATTGGTGTCACCTTAAAGCTTGTTGAATTGAAGAGCTTTCGATGAAAGAAATACACATTTCTCCTGAATGCAAGTCAAGATATTTGTAGTGATTGAAGGGGATGGGAGTCACAGAGGTAAAATTAGCAAGAAAACAGCCACCAAAAATTGGTTAGTTACTGAGTCTGAGAGTCCATGGAAACTGATAACTTATATTTTTTATGCCTTTAATCAACATTTTGAAGTAAATTAGATGGACTAAAAAGGTATTGAGCCCCCCCCCCCCCAAATTGCCAAACCTACAGAAAATGTTTCTTCGATTTCATTATTTCTACAAGTGTCTGATTTCACCTGTGCTGCCTCACATTTATTGTAACACAAAAATATGAGGACTAGGTCCAGATATCTTTATTTCACTTAACCCTTTCGCACTTAGCAGGCTTGGCCAGCTGTGCCCCCCCCCCCCCATCCTTAAGACAAGGGCAACAACTCCACGAAAATTGAAGGGGTACCTTACTAAAAAAAAATGGTATAAAATCGCAAACACAACCAAAAATGATGAAAATAGTATTTTCTGAAAGGAAAATGAATGAGCTAAATTACTAGTACAACATTATAAGTGGAATAGTAGAGTATGAAATGACATGAGAGGTCTTTCTGAGATGCGTGTCTTGGATTCCGAGTCTAGATCTAGATCTCGTATACATTTCTTCAACTCACGAAGTTTCTGCCACTGACAAAAAGGTAATCCACACAAAAGAAATACAACACATTCACAGAGATTTGAGCCTCTGGTGGAAACTTGAAAGCACCTAAAAGACTTTTCTTTGGGTGTTTTTATTTTGTTTCTGCCGTACTCATATCGGGCAGCTTTGCGCCCATGCACCCTAGAGACATGATGGCGTGTTTACAACTAAAATCTCCTCCGACTTTTGTTCCCGCTCAAAAAGTGACTCTTTGTGCTAGCGAAACAAGAAAAACACCATAGTAAACCGGAACTTTTCCTCTATAAAGATAGCTACGTGAAACTTCTGATGATAGTAAAAGTAGAAGCCTCCCACGGCAACGAAACAAACACCCCCGTGGCGGGCGCATTCGGTCGCTATAGGGATGAGCGGGGGTCACCGGCGCAGGCGCATACGGGCGCTGTAAGTGCGAAACGGTTAAATATGATTTATAAATGATACTGTCTTTGTAAGTTATGAGGCATCACTAGATCTAGTTAGTTTTTTTTAAATAAATAAGGCATGGGAACAAGTTTGTCACCTATAATTTTATATAGGAAAATGATTCAACTAAAGTTCCCTACAAAAATTATGCCGCATTAATAAAATGTTGTCTTGAAAAATATGTGAAATACCCATCATGTCTATGTTTCAAATTAGGGTTAAGTCGATACCCAAGCTATGTTCAGGACCAGAGCTCAGTGAGTTGATAAAAATTTCTCAAAAAGTGCACACACTTCAGTCTGGATTTCTACCAAATGAGAGAAAAATGGGCAGTTTGCATAAGCTATGAGAAAATGTATTTTTACAGAAATCCTGGACTTACTTTTGGGACAGCTTTTCTCAATATAAGCTTGTACTGTTCTTTAGTTATTTTCTTGGAGCTGTAGAACGGCTTTATGGCCAGCTTCACTTCATCAATGACACGCTCCTGGAACTGAAGCTTCTTCATGTACTGGAAACAAAAAACACAAGAAAAGTGAGTGAAAACATAGGCACATTTCATAAACACATGCATACAATCTGGTAAAACTTTTCAATGCAAGTAAATTTACATTTACTGTTCAGTGTCAAAGTTTCAAGACTATGTTCAACACTTTCTTAAGTCCTTGCAGGCCTTTCTTAGGTAAAAAAAAAATGTTTAAAACTGACACTTTTAATGACTTCTGACCTCCATCCATAACTTTCAGTTTGACCAAGAAAGAGACACATTCAGGGCATGATCATGCCAGGCAAAAGCACATTCTGTAAGAATACAGCAAACACGCCATTCGTTCATAAAAACAGCACAACACAAAGCACAAAACCAAAGAATATACACCTATCCTTACCTTCTCTTTGTTGGTGAGCTCCACAGCACTGGCTGGGACATCATCATCTGGAACGTCCATCCTCCGTCGCCGTGACTGTCTGCCCTTGTCTGGACCAGACACCTGGCCTTGACCTTTGGGGGCAAGCTTCTCAATGACCTTGCTCAGAACCTTCAGGTACACAGCCGGCTGGACCAGACCTTTGCCCTGGCCAGCCTTGGAATCTCCGGCAGCAGAAGCCTTGTGGTCCGAGCGGCGCCCTCTTCGTCGCCGCTCATCTGGGGAGGAGTCCGAGTTGGGAGAGGGGAGTTCCAGTTCACAATCGTCTTCCCCTGGGCTCATGTCCATGTCCACCACCTCCGTGGACTCATCAGGTCCGCCTGGACCTCCTGATCGCATGCTACGGCCACCGCCCATGGACCGGCCCATCCCCATGTTGGAAGCCGAGCTGTTGGAGAGAGGGCCTTTGCCCAGAAGACCAGGGCCGCCCATTGAGTTCACAGGCATTTGGGGGGTTTTGAACGCTTGTGGGGGCTGTTGCATGCCCCGATCACCTTGCTGGGACGCTAGTTTGGCCTTCTCCAGTGCCGGCAGAAGGCTGGTGAGTTGTGCGAGGGGGGCCATGGAGGAGATAGGCATGGAAGGTCTCATGTTAGGGTGAGTGGGGCCCCCAGAGTCCCTCTGTAAACCCTGGTGGGACATCGGAGGCATAGAGGGGGAAAAGGGCAGCCCTGGGCGAGGGGCATCCCCTGGGAACATGGGTCGAGCGTCTGGTGTAGGCAGGAGCCCTCGAGCATGGGGGCCTGTTGGCTGTCCTGGAGGAAAGCCTGCCGGCCTGTTGTTCTGATGCATCATGTTCTGAGGGGGCATGTTCCCACCGGGTCCTCCGCCCAGAGGCCAAGGGAATCGCTGGGGCCCACTGCCACCACCACCTCCTGCCATGCCAGGGAATCTCATCATCCCTGGCATAGGTTGCTGTTGTTGCTGTTGCTGCGGAGGAGCGGGCGGGGGAGGCTGTGGCTGGAACATGTGGTTGACTAGTGGCATGTGAGGAGCAGGGGGGGCGCCCGGAAGTGGGGGAGCAAGGCCCTGAGAGGGAGGCCCACTCTCTGATAGGGCAGGACCTGGGGGAGGAGAAGGGCGCACCTCCTCGGGGGGCGGGTGGTTGGGGGGCACAGGGCCTGCGTCTTTGGGGGCTGAATTTGGTGCGGGGGCAGCAGCAGCGGGCGCACTCACTTCGCGGTCCTCCGGCTCCTCTGTCGGATGAGCAGGGTCATAATCAGACTCATTGACAGTCTTCCGGGCACTGTCAGTCTGCCTGCGTACAGCATCTGTGTGTTCATCTCGTGTTGGGGTTGCATCCCCATCCTCCTCTTCCTCCCGGCTTGCATCGTTGTCTGTGGGAGCTGGGTTTATTTGAATGAGGGCACTGCGGCGAGCATTTCCAGACAACTCTGGTGGGGGCGGTATGCTCTCACCATCCACAAGAGTGGTACTGTCGTCAACAGCATTAGCATGAGTGATATCTACCCTAGAAGGAGGGTCTTCTTCCTCGTCCAGATTGATGACGATTCTCTCTGGTTCAACCAAAATGACGTCGCTGGAAGCGCCCTCATCGGAACTGTCCTGGCTCTGGTAGCTGCGCCGCCCACCATGGGTTTTCTGACGCAGGCTACCACTGCTCGTGCTGGACGAAGATGAAGAGGAACTACTGCTACGGGCACGTTCATGTCTCTGGCGGCGATGAGAGCCACGGCCACTGCCTCGCTCCTCAGACTCACTGTCCTCATGTGTGCGAGCATGATGGCGCCGTCTGCGGGAACTGTCATCGCGATTTTCTTTATTGGAGCTCGCCCGCTCAGACCGTCGCCGTGGACTGCGTGACCGGGACGGAGATGCCCGACGCCTGCGCTCAGAGTCCCTCTCACGACTGCGGTCACGATGCCTACGTTTAGATCGCTCTCTTTCCTTCTCCCGCTCCCTTTCCCGTTCTCTCTCTCGTTCTCGCTCTACAGACCTATCTCGAGACCTTGACCTATGTCTTCTATGTCGTGAGGATCTATCCCTTGACCGTGACCTCCTGACTCTCTCTGCTGACCCAGAGCGTCTCCTCCGCTCCTGAGACCTACTTCTGCTATGCCGACGCCTCCTCTCCTCCACTTCCACTCGACGACTCCTCTCTCTATCTCGGCCACTCTCCCTTTCTCTCCCAGCTTCTCTCTCCTTTTCCCGCTCTCTTTCCCGATCCCTGTGGCTCCTCTCCCTCTCCCGGTCTCCCCGAGCCCTCTCCCTCTCCCTGTCACGGGGTGTGCCATGTCGGTGTTCTTTCTCCCTGCGGACCTCGCGAGTGTCTCGACTCTCCTGCCTCCTATCCCTCGACTCCTGCCTCCTCTCCTCATGACGTCTACTGCGTCTGTGTTCCGACTCCTCCCCTCTCACCTCCTGGTTCAGGCTGCCATCAATGTGTTGGTCAAAGCTCTTCACCGAGTCCTCAGCCCCAGAGTCATGGCGCTTGCGGTAATTTTTCTCCACCCTGTGAAAGTGCCGTTCCTCCTCCCCATGAAAAGAGTTTGGGTCTGGGTCAACATTCTCATCTATCTCCTCCCCTGCCTCATCCTGCACAAAAAAGCCGGCTAGGAAGGAGGGGAACTTTTGCGAGTCCTCATCTCCTTGACTCCCCTCCTCGATAGTGGCCACCTCTCGCCGGCTTTTCTTCTTCTTTCTCTCCTTTTTCTCTCTTTTCTTCCCTCCTTTCTTCTTGCTGCCATCAACCTCCACAATCTCCCCTGGCTCCCTCTGCTCCTCGGTGCCATGGTTAGCAGGGCCTAGGTCAAACACTTGCTCGTATGCCGACATTCTCTCCTCCTGGCTCTTGCTACGACCAAGCCCAGCCCCTTCAGTGTCCAGCTCCCCCTCTTCCCGACTCTCCACACTCTGCCGGTCACGTCTAATTTCCACAAACCTTTGGTCCTCTGCTTCCTTCTCCTGCTGCTTGGACAATCCTTTCTTACCCTGACCTTTTTTCAACTTTTTTCCTTTCTTTTTCAGCTTCTTTGAACCTAGTTTCTTCTTGGTTTTCTTTACTGGTTGCTCCACGTCATCCTCTATCTTCTCGGGGTCACTCTCTTCACGGAATAAATCAACCAGTGCTTTCTCATTCCGGCTGTCAATCTCTTCCTGTCGACGCAACCTCTCTCTCTCTTCCGTGTCCACCTCCTCTAAGCGTTCGTCTCCACTTACGTTCTCCTCCATCTCCTGATCAAAACTTCTCCCCGTGAGTTTATCCTCTCCCTCTACAGATTCGCCACCCTGATCAAAGGGTTCCTTCTCCAAGACGAAGTCACTGTCATCAAAAGCAACATCAGGCACATCGCTGTATACCTCCTCCTCATTGTCCACCACCGAGGTCTGTGTGTTCTCATCCGTGTCCAGTGGGATGTCTTGACCCTTTTCAGGGCTGGGGCTGCCTGCTCGGCTGTCCTCCTTCTGTGCATCAGGACTGGGAACAGAGACTTCCCCCTGGTCTTCTTCCGGGCTGCAAGCCACCTCCTCCACATCTGGCCTCTCCTCTACTTCTGGGGGACTTTCCACATGCATCTCATTCCTCTGACCTTCCCCCTCCCTCTCACGCTCTTCATCCCTCTCACCTTCTTCCTCCACTCCCTCTTGGTTTTCTTCTTCCCCTTCCACTTTCCCATCCTCCTCCTCTTCCTCCTCCTCCACCGACTCCCCCTGCCCCAGGAGCAAAGACGTTTCGCTCAAGTCAGCAGTGATAGGAGACGAGCAGCCCTCAGGCATGTCAACCTGCTCGCCACCATTACTTAAATCTACATCCTCCTGAGACTCGCAACCTTGAGAGTCCCAGCGACCGTCTCCTTCCTCCTCTTCCTCTTTTTCTGCCCCATCACCCGTCGCCTCAGCAGCACACCCATCATCATTATCCCCATTGTCTTCAAAGTTATTTTGATTCACATTATCTTCACCCGTTTCCTCCCCTTCTTCTTCTTGAGGTAGGTCTCCATCAGCATCCTGACCAGTTGCCTCAATGTCCTCCTCAGCCCCGTCCTCTCCACCAACATCCTCGCCATCCACATCTTTCTCCACAGAGTTGTCGACGACCTCCTCTTCTTCGTCACTGACCGTTGGCTCAGCAGGATCATAGTCAGAGACTTGTGCACTCCCCTTTCCTCCTTCCCCATCATCACACGGAGACTTGCCCCCGGCGTTGGGGCTGAACGCTTCCTCTGTGGGCTCTGATGGGTCATAGTCATCAGTGGGTTCTGACGGGTCATAGACAGACTGCTCTGGAACTTTCTCAACCCCTCGCTCTGGTACTGTGAAAGTTTTTTAAAAAAAAAATGGAAATAGCACAAACGAATAAAACTGAATTATCTATCTTTGCAAAGAATATTATAAAGATATAGTTTGTCATACATACCTTCAAAATAAAGTAATTACTCTGGTCACTCACAAAACTAAACTCATAAAAGAATAAAACAGGCTAAATATGAGTAACACAACTGAGAAGAACTTATACATCTACTAGACAGAATCTTTCTCCAGCTGTCACCTTACATTGTTCTGCCTCCTACTTCAAATAATTCAAATGCTAACAAATATCACATTTTATCACTTCCCAACTGACCATAGGCATCTCATCAATATTGATTTCACGTTTGAACAAGAAATTATCAGATTTTCTAAACTCATAGAGATACTTCTTCAAAAATACAAGTCCCAAACTCAAAGACTCCACATTTCATAATGCATATACAGTACATATGAGTTAAGTAGGCCTACAGTCCTAACCTAATCCTACATTTTCCATACCTGCATATAAGTTTTGTACAGTAAGTTTTGATTATAAATCTCGTAAACTAAAAAATGGTCCTCACCATTAGCATTTCCTGAAGGCTGCTTCATCTCTTCCTGTTTCGCTTCTAGATCAATCTCCATCCCGCCATCCTCATCCGAGGTGTCCCAGCCATACTCCATCATCATGAAGCACTACACACTACACACACGCGAGTGCACCAATGGCAAAGTGGTGAACACACTGTCTGGGAGGTGAATGCACACACGCGCACAACATTCACTCCTGCATGGCCTCAGCTCTTTTGTCTGTGGAGGTAAAAAAAGCATAATATTACAATATTTCTCAATGAACGGTACAAGTAACAAGAACAAGTAGTACAAGTGAGGGAAGAATAAGAAAATAAGTTCAAAACTCAGGCCTCTACATTTCATAACATACACAGTATATTCAAATACATAAAAAGTTAAAGACATAGCTTGAGCATGATAAAATCAGACAGCCTTTCTTAGTGGAACCGGGAGCCCAGCAACTGCACTCAACATACAATGTGTGTCCTGACAAGTCTCTCTTGGTTAGATTATAAATCTACTTCCCAATAATCACATTCTAAACCACTTAGGGGGCAGTTTGCTTCCACCCTGTCTGTAAAGGCCAACCCAAGCCTTCCCCCCCCCCCCCCCCAAAGTTATGCTTTCAAAATATGATCCTGCCATAGAGATCTAGCTTCTGTTTCTAGGGATTGGTGGAAGGTCTCTGACATTCTCTTTCCTGTAAAAGCCACCCTTTATTTGGATTTCATTACTGCTTTTTTCTACAACTGACCTCACTACAATTTGACAAAAATATCAAAAGTTGACACTAATTTTAAGGGGATTGAAACTAACTCAAAGCAAGGAAATTTTATCCATCCCGGCCAAAAAACTGATATATCTGAAAGGTAATATTTATATCATCTCCACAACATATTTTGTTGGGGTGTTAGTATCAGAGCTGACCATACAACTTCGTAGCCTGAGATCAAACACTACATTCTCTTTCATGAGCATGAGCTGTCCCTCAGCGTTGTCAAGAGGGATTAAATGATACAAAGAAATTAGTTATTGGTCTGATTTGAAAAGTGCTATTCCTGGAAAAACAGGGAGTTTTTCACTACAGAGGAGTCCACTTATAACTAGTCCTGAAACAACGAGAAGTCTATTATAAAGACACTATTCTAAAACCTCGTTTTTTCCCCTTCTTTATCTCTGTAAATAAAATACTGCTATGGCGCAATCAGACAAACATGCGATTCGGTTATAGCGGAATATTACTGCTGCTGTGCGAAGCCCATAGGCCACTTATACATAATGTAAAACCTCGCAAGTTGAGAAACTTGGTGAACTAGCGAAACCAAGAATGGGAGAGCCCACGTGTGCCAACAATGTAGGCCGGAGCGAATGAGTGAGGAGAGTGCGGAATGTGCAGACAAGCAGAAGGCATCGCATGATAGGCCAGCCTAGACTTGTTTATCTAGGCCTACCATGCCTCTCAATTTTCCGATGTAGGGATGGAGAGGTCACAGTAATTTGATGGAAGGAGCGAATGAGTCACGTGCGCAAGCAAGGTGGGGAACAACACAGCGGGCAAGTTAGCCTAGAGCCCTTTCTGATTGCCAACGCTGAGCTGTCAACATTGTTAGCGCTAGAGAAAGAAACCTGATTCGATTTTTGATCAAGTATGACCTAGAAGTCATGTTGAAACAAAATCGTCATCAGGGGAGATAACAAAAAGAAATAAACAGAACACCAAACTTACAGATTAGGCCTACTTTATTATTTCCATGAATTTATTACTGGATCCCTTACGAGAATCCTGCTATAATGGACATTTCCCAGTCCCCTCCCTCTCGTTATAACAGGATTCCACTGTACCAGCTTATTTACACAAATTTTTCACATTGCTCTAAATCTAATGGAGAGCCAAAGGTGTTCATTTCAAGGCGCCAGAATGGTTGTTATTCCATTTTAAGGAGAGAACCACAACTGGTGAAATTTTGGGGATAAAATTTCCGTATTTGAAAAGAGACTAATAAAAGTATTTGATAAATTACTAGAGTGATGTCAACTGATTTATACTTTGAAAAAATTACAATTTATGGTCTATGCCCCCACTGACACAATATCCCTTGAAAGGGCAACCAGAACTTAGAGGGGATAAAGAATCCAAAACAAAACTAAAAAGATCTTTGATAAGACAAACTCTACCTGGGGGGAATGGAACTCACGGCTTATATTTATAAAGAGAAAATAATTACAATTACATAATTATATCAGACACCAAAGTCAGGCAAAAGACACCAGTACACACAAATACCCACCCCACCAGCCAAACTGAACGTTTATACCAAAAGCATGTAGACATTAAGAACATACTTTTCAGAATAAAGAAGACTTCTACAATTCTTCAATAGTATTTAAAGGACCACCAAAGTAAACATTTGTTTTGATAGTTACATGACAAAAGGGTAATATTTGGCCACCTGTAACAAATGCCACCTTGTCAGCCAGCCTCTAGACCCTAAACACAAAGTACTCAGTCTACAAAAGAAACATTAGACCACGTAAAGGACGGACAGGAGAGTCAAGGAAAGCCTGTGAACTAAAAAATCTCAAAAGAAAGAGCTGCAAAGCTGCCCTGACAACAAAAAAAACTGCATCTCCCCCTGACACTAAACATCAAAAGAGGATGAAAAAGTAAACAAAAAAGTAAAAGTACGAAAAAAAAAGTCAAGAGTCAAGCACAAGAACTGACAACATTGCCTCATAAACAATTTTACTGCAGAACCAGACAGCCTGCAAGTCAAAGTTTTCCAGTTCACAGGACTACCAAACACAAGTCAATATAGATGTCCCTTCTGCTTTTTATCACCCACACCCCAACCCCAGCCACATGAAGATATTGAGATTCCTCTGATTATAGAGCTCACGGTGACAAAGTACAGTAAAGCAGACTTGCTTTTGCTGAAACAATGAGCGAACAAACATATTTAAGATTATTTTGAAGCATGTGAAGTAAAATAGACAAAGGAAAGGAAAAATTTTGAATACATTTAGATAAGAAGCCCAAAACTTCTGTGGAGTTTACATGTTCTAAAGCAACTGCAGCATGGCCTGCCAACCAAGAGAGCAGAAATGACATGATTCAACACTACACAGGATACCCATGGAAACTAACAAAGCATGGTAAACTAATTAGTTTTTCATCAATGGTTGCATAAGGAAGATCATATTGAAAATCCACAGGCCAGGCACCATAAGTAATGAAGTATTATGGAGGAGAAACCAACCAACAATCGACTGTGAGATCAAGGAGCACAAACTTGGGAAACCAACCCACAAAATGACAATATGACAAGACTAAGTCTAAAATGGAACCTCCTGGTAGGAGGAAGAGAGGAAGGCCCAGATCTACCTGGGAACAAGATCTGCAGGCAGATCCAAAATGGGGCACAGCTGGCTGGAGGTGGAGAAGATCGCCCACAACAAAGACAGGTGGAGAGCCCTCGGAGCAGCCTGTACCCAATACTAGGGTGAAAGGGGCGAATAATGAAGACACAGGCTACCAGCCCCTCCCACACCAAAGGGTGCTTTCCAGTAATAACATCAAAAGTCAGTTTTGACCCAGTAGGTGTGCCCCATCTGATCACACCTTGAACCGCAGACCTGCTGTAACCCTTCATCCAGCACAAAAGCTAGACCCCAAACAACAACTCCAAAACCTCCCTGATCAGGACCCGACCAATGGATGAGGCCAGTACAAACTACAATGAAGACACCATGCTGGAGTTCACTGCTTGCGCAACTCACAGCAGGAAAACTTGTTTAAGTCAACATTAGTGTTAAAATTCTTACAGAAACAAAACAGAGAAGATACTTCAGACAGTCAGTCCTGCTTGTCAGAGGGTAAAACTCTGCAACTTGTTCCCTAATGCAGTAAAGCAGTACAGACCAATAATAATAACGGCAATCTATGATGATTGTAAACCATCCCCTATAGAAATGCTATGGATAGAGGTTGTGAGATAAACATTTATATACAGACTTTAAAATCTCTTGATCTGCAACACAGCTTTCATTGCTTTTCTAGGGGTGTGTATGTGGGGTGTTGTAGGAATGAGGATAATTGTTGAGAGGTTGCATATCGTTCAGGTTACTATTCTCTCAGTTTTAAGACTAACAGAGTATTACTGTGCATAATATTTAAAGAAATAGCCAGGGGGGCCCTGGTGGCCTAGAGGATAAGGTGTTGACCTATCATTGAAAGGTCCCGGGTTCGAATCCCGGTGACGACCGAAATATTTTCTTATCTAAAATTGTCTCCTTTCCCCTTCTTTCCTGCTCTCTAGCAATGTTCTGTCATCTGCTTTCGTCTCCTCTTTCCGACCCCACCCCCTCACCTCCTTTGCCCCTCCTCTGGGCTCCTGACTCTTTCTGCAGCTTTTCTACCGCTACTCCTTGGCTCCTTCTTACTGCTGTCTTTTAGCCACATCCCTGATCTTCAGGTAGGAAAAATCTACACCTAGTAGCCTTCTCGGATGAGGGCGAAAAATCTTGGAGGGCCCGTGTGCAAGTGGAGCATGTTGAAGATCCCTTAGTGGTCTAAAATCGAAAAGAGTGGGCTTCGGCCGCCACCCCAGGAAAATTCAAAATTTCCTACAAACTGCAAGTTTAATGTGTCCCGCGCACTCATATGACCTTATGCAGTTGCGAATGCCGTAAAACACCAAAAAAAATAAAAAATAGCTACAACTACAATACTGCCATTCACAACGGGACTATGCAGTGCCTCCAAAACTTCAGTGTGGGCAGGAAAAACTATTTTGAAATAATGTCTTTGTGCAAGAAGTCCTAGAGATTGACATAAACGTATTCAAGATTAATATCATATGCTCCATTGTACTGACCAAAAAAAAAACCCATGAAATTACGAAAACTGATTGAAAGTCGTCCCGAAATCCTGTAACAATACACGGCCTAAGAAGCAAAGACACAATATAATAATATATCCGGGTGGGAAATGCTGTTTCCCAAAAGGGTTAAAGGTTTTGTAAGGTTTAGCCTATTGAGATTGGCTACAAGACTGGAAAAGCATGAAAGACAGCTAAATGACACAACCTTTGAGGATTTATTCACATACAACAGATGTGTGAGACACTGTGCCTTACAAACTGCACCCGATTCTCAGACTGCACCCTATTCTCAGACACCAACTCACACAAAATGTTCGTTTTGTCTAACTTTTTTGTTATGTTCCCCTCCACTGCTTGGACACTGACAGCTAAACAAAAGACATTGCGTGTTTCATGAACCAAAAACCCACTATACCAGTAGCCATTGAGAGCAAGATCTCGCATCAGCTTGTTGGCACAACCAACGGCAGACCACCTCAAAACATAATTTATTCAAGCCATCCTAAGAGACAACACGCTCAGCATTTAAAAACTTTTGAGGCTCACAGGGAAACACACAAACAGTAATCTTAATGCTACCGCTGCCCCCCCCCCCAACCCCAAAATCAACATTATGTCTTGTGCCTAAAGCAGGCAAGTGCAACCCACACACACACATACACACACACAAAAACACCTCCTCAAAAAAAAAAACGGTACTGCACACCAGAGTCCACAGCAGTTCTCTGCCCCGACTATGAGTACTACATTTTTTTTTACCCATTGATGAGAAACATAAGAGCATGATATAGAGTATTTCCCATCCTTTCAGCCATAGAAGGCAAAAAAATGGTTAGATGGAATAGGTTTAACGCCCCTATCAACACTGTTCGGTTATTTAACTCTTTCCAGGCGTATCGCTGATATATCGGCGCGAGTCCACTCTCCTTGTGGACGTATCGGCTATGATAGGGTGCCTCGATATTGTTTCGTTTTAACACGATACGTTATTTATAAGTACGTATTATTGTTATTGAAAACTTGGAAAGGGTTTAGGAAATGAAAACGTCTACTTTCACTTTGTCAAAAGTGTCGGTTTGGCGAAAAACGAGAGAATTAATTTTTGCAGTGTTGCATTAACAAAATGACGTAATCTGACTCAGTAGAAATATCATAACTCAAACAAAAATTGGAATATTGCTTTAAAATAAAAGGCTGCGTGTTCAGAAATTTATGGATTATGTTCTTGGCCTGTATAATGATAGATAGCTATGCTGATTTGCATTCACATGTTTGGATAGTTACTCTTGAGTATAATTTTTTCGGTCAAAATTTATTTTCCTCATCATCATCACCCATTCTAACCCTTGTAATGCATGCTCATCTTCAAAATTAATCTCCGTTTCATGTTGGAATGTATTCCTCATTCAGTTTCCTTCAATTTGATACATCATATGTTACCCTTTGAGTGATGGTTAAGCTTATATAAAGTTTTTTTGTACATCACCGGCATTGCCACATCGAGCCACAAATTAATTTATTTCCGGAAAAGTTTAGTTAACAATTACAGTACTGAAGGCTCATACAGTGAAAAACCCTCAAGTACTGCACCAGTTTAGAATGTTGAAGCCGTGGCAGAAATTCTTTAAATTTAAACAAATCTTTGCAGCCCAAGGAACATGCTTTAAAATTTCTCAGAGTAGGTTAGTCAACCATTCAGCTATCATATAGAGCGACTTCCTTTGGTATTTACTTCAGTGCAATGTGTCCATTCGCTGTTTCAGTACGATTAATGTGCCAGACAAGCGGTAGAGAGCGTTTATTAAGGACTGGCAACTAAAGCTACAAACGGTACTGTAAGTGTTAAGAAAGGACCAAGCCAAGTGGGAAATTCTATAAAATGCCTTTCCCAAGGACACAACATCTAGGACCGAGGAGAGGCTCGAATCCTCAAACACACAATTACCAGTACGGGAGCCTAACCACTAGGCTTCCGACACCACTACAGAAAGGCATGCCAGAGTCAATAAAACTCACTCTCCATAGGTGCATGAGGAGCTCATATTTTAAAAAGGAAGAAGTAAAACTGAAAAACACCCATGCAAATTTACACATTTTCACTGCAGCTTTCAAAATATAGGTTTGCCATCTTATATTTGTCGTTGAAAAGGAATTCCAACCTCCACTCCAGATTTACAGAACATTCTCATCCATTAATAAACCGAACAGTCTGAACAAGAAAGTTGTATTTCGCTTCATCCTTCAGTCAGCATGTTTTTCAGTTAAATTTTTTTATTCTATTGCCGTCAGATCTATCCAACACTGTAACGTACCGAAAATCATTTCAGGTTTATGTGCCATTAACTATAAGTTAAAATAAAAATACACAGCTCCATATTAGCACATTTTTTCCAGTTCTACAATTTTTCCAAACTCAAGCTCACAGTTGTAAAAGTCTACACTTAGTTAAACTAAACCACTTATCCCTCCTCTCCCTCCCCCTGTAAACTAAATAAGAAATGAATGCTCCAGTCAAACTATCCTGAACCGTAATCTAAACACTCACTAAAAAAAAGTATGGAATAATGATCCTTTATCCTATACACACACAAAAATTATATCATTCCTACTCCTGGATTCTACCCCATCAGAATGAACAACTATTTATATTCGATCAAGTGGCTTCCCACACCAGGAACAATAATTTTTGCCCAATAACTGGGCCAAGACAGACCAACTTAACATGATTTTTTTTTCCAACCAGCGTTAAACCTCCTTATAAACAAGCTTTAGACTTATTTATAATCATAATTCCCCTCCCCCAAGTGATTCAGGTCATATGGTGCAAAATCAATCAAGTAAAGAGTGGTTGCCACACAGAAAGACTGCCTGATTAGTCCACACTAACCAAACTGCTTTGATTTTCTTTTTTTTTTTTAAATTGGAATTAGGCTAAATTATTTCTTCTCTTTGGAAAATTAAGAAAAAAGATTTCACATAAAAATGTCACAGAAAAGGCTCTCCAGCAATTAATTTTTAGTTTATCAGTCTTTATTACTAATGCCAAGGATAGTGGAATTAATACTTACTGAAAATGTGAAAAAAAAATTTATAAGAAGTTTGAGATTAGCAAAAGAAATCTGAACTGAACAAACTGAGATACTTACTTTGTGTGGCTACATCAGGCAAGTCTTTTAGTGTGACAGCAACGATGACAACCTCTGATGATCAGTCTAAACGCTCAAAAATCGGACTTGGAACTCGTTCAGTGACAGCTCATTTTTCTTTTTCTCAAAAACGCGCCGTAAACAGTTTCTCCAGTACGCAAAATTTGTGACAAAAAATAAAGATCATTGATATGAATTTCACAAAATCACCTTCTCAATCAACCCTCCTAAAGGCAAATGAAAAGTGGGATTTTTGCAGCCCTCAGAAGTAGGTAAATTATTAACAAAGGTAATGACAGAATCAAACGTGCAACAGTTGCCCTCACCCTGCTTCTTTTCTTGAAATAAATCCCCAAACCAAATTGCATTTTTTACGACAAAGGAAAACGTTTTTGTTCAAATTGCTTATGTTTCATTAAGTATGGGTATCAACTCCCTGACCCATATAAACAAATTCTAGTGAGAATTCTAGATTTAAAAAATGAGAGAAAAGCAGAATCAATGAGCCAGACAAAGCATGAAGTAGCAAACAAACTTGGCATCTCAGGGAAGTAAGTGATTTGCATCTGCATTGTAGATTGAACACACGTAAGCAAGTCCTTTCTCGTTTCTTTTTCAATACTTCTATTTTTCTATGTATCTCGCTTCCAACAAAAAGACGATCGTACCAATAACAATTGACTATCAACCATCATATATCGTTCACAATTTGTTCTGTTGAACATGAGCTGAAAAACATTTTCAGCCTGGAGGTGTGTAACATGATGCGGTGTCAGATAGCAACAGTCAACACTGCCATCGCTGAAGTAAGCCATAATGCAAGGCTGTTTCAGATCCTTGATGACCTTATAATGCAGATAGAATTTGCTGACAACTCCTTATCAATATTAGTGCAAACAGTCTTCTGAATCCAATTAAATTTAAAACAAGCCAAGGCACATTGACACCCAAGTATCTCTTGAAGAGAGAGCATAGCGAGAGCCAAGGAAAGAACAAACAGAATGCGCTTCACTTATCTCAGACATTTTACTAAAGAGTATTCCCATGAAAGTGCATTGTATCTTCTGCTCATGCTATGAAATGCAGGAATGGGCAAAGAGAATAACTGTCAACCTATACACTTTAGATCGAAGAGACAATTCAGATGATTTCACAACATACACTAGAACATTCAAGGCATCAGAACTGTCCAACACACTGAAAGAAACACGTCACCCAGACAAAATACAAGACGAAATTATCACAATCCTTATCCTATCCAAGTATAAAATAAAGGCTCTTTTCCTTGAAAGTAAAGCAATTGTGAAGATACTACCTTGGTCAGAAGTTGATAATCATGAGTTTACCTTGGAATGTATCGAAAAAAAGCAGATTTAGCGACAAATCTACAAATAGCCAAAAAGCCTAAGAAAAACAATTTGAAAAAAAAACGAAGGGACTATTTCTCCGAACGCTCAGGAAAAAAAACTTGACTTGCCAAAGTCTCTTTGAGCGGTTTCCGTTCTCGAGATTTTTGTTTTCATATGGGAGAGTTCAGACACATCTTTCATTCCGCCGTTCTGCGAGGACTGGAATGTAAAGCATTTTTTGCATCAAATCCAATTTCTAGAGCTAGAGATTTTTAGATGCCTGAATATTCAAATACTTCAATTGTGGTTGGGGCAACGTTCCTGGACTATACTTCATTTGAAAATGCCTTCAAAAGGGACTGCCATGAAGTTACAATGAGCACCTAGCACACTTTGTGATTGGCCCAAAAATAGATGACGTATTTCCGCCATTTATTTTTGTCATTGTCCGGGGTATCCCCCAAGACTCTCGGGTTTCCCTCACCAGTAACTTTCGACTAGATCTCGCCATGTTTGGGTTTTTTTGTACTAATTGGTGTTATCTTTTTTGTAAACAATCTCAGAAATTCTCGTACCATAAATTTACCTTCTCCTGAAAATCGTACAAACACACACACGCACACAAGCGCGTATCGCGCGTTGGGCAGCAAAGTGGGCTAACCAAGCTGAGATCTGGTTAACTAGAGAGGGAAGCCCCAGAAGACGACAAAAATAAATGGCGGACATACATCATCTATATTGGGCCAATCACAAAAGTGTGCTAGGTGCTCGCTGTAGCTTCGTCAAATCAAACTCCCTCCACGCCTCCAACCCTAAACACACATGCACATACAGCCCAATGAGTCGACGATGAAACCTAGTGACGTAGCCCATCGTGCGTTTACACATTACACCCTAAGGGCCTGAACCGTAACGGGACGTCCATTCCTAGATCCCAACAGACCTGCCACTCTATGAAATCGAAAAATCAGGATTTTGGAGTAAAAAATCAGGATCTGGTGAAAAAAATCGGGATCAACGGCAAATCAGTAAATGGGGCACTGGGGGAGGAGGGGGTCCTGGTTCCCTTTTATGAGGCAAGTATGCAAGACAAAACTTTTTAGGAATAAGTTCACATTATGATTTGGGCCTCTAAATAGTGGGAAAACTGAAAGACTGCATGTACTTGAGTCGGAGTCGGATAGACTGGGGGAGCGCAGGTTGCAATAAAGCTGGAACTCGTAGTTTTGAAAATAACCGACACATAGCTACAAAAAGCCCGTTGTCATACGTTTGACTTCCATCGCATATACACGCAAGGCAACCCCCCACCGAAAAAAAAGATCGCGCCAAGGTTGTTCAATTTTTTTTTTTTATTATTCCTTTCTCCTCACACACACACACTACCGGGTCTGGGCGCTGAAACTTTCCGAAATCACAAAAGAGTTCCCCTACCAGGTCTGTATACTTCGCAACTTTGTTCCCGGTTACCGGGTCTGTATACGCTTCGATTTAAAAAAGAATAGAGGGCCTACATGACTTTGGACAAGTATCTCAATCTCTTGAATCTGTTTTTTTAGTTCGGGCCTTTTTAGTTGGGAAAAGGAGGAAGGGGGTGCCACACCTCTGCAGTTCCTGGTTCCCAGTCCCAATGCAAAACCCACTACTCAATGGCCACCTCTATTCTCACCCGGAGTGAGAATAGTGCAGGTGAGTCTTGTGGCTATTCTCACCCGGTGCGCGTTCACCATAAACCACAGAATTCTACACTGTATATAACAGAAAAATTGTAGAATTCTGTGCGGTGAACAAACGTTCCATTACAACTGTAGCCTACTAAAAGCGAACAATTTTGTCTGTGGGCAGTGGAGAGAGAGAGAAAGAGAGAGAGGAGTAGCGCGAGAATTTCCGGGCAAAACAAAATGGCGACCCGCGTAGTTCGGCTCGATTCGAAAAGTTAAATAGCCGTAGCATCTTTGTAGACAACCAAATTAATTTACTTTTGTGTTTTAACATCATTTTTTTAACTTTGTTTTGGTCAATTTGATCATCCACACCGATAGACAGTATTCAGAAAGAGACAGAGAGAGAGAGAAGAGGGGAGGAGTTGATCTTGCGAGAACTTCCGGGCGGGCGAGAATAGCCACTTTCCTACTCAATAGAATATAATAATTCAAACTAGATTCTAGAATCTAGATCTAGATTAGATTCTAGATTTACATTCTCATCATAAAATCATAATCATAGCCACCAGAGTAGAGAGCAAGGAGTGGCCACCACCAGCCACAATCACAAGTTTCCCATTTCGAATCTCTTCCCATTTAACCCTTAAACCCGTCATCCTTGCAAAAGACACAAAATCAATTGTTTACAGGGCTGACTATACAGTAATAACACAGAGAAAGTCATGCATATTGATGAACAAAAGTGAAACACCATTCATGAGTGCCAGCGTTTCCTTGTCAAAATGCAATGCTGAGTTTGCACCGACTGAAGCCAATGCCAATGGCAATGGATGGCAATGATACCCAAACAAGATGATGGATTGCAATGTAATATAAGCGCTCAACAACACTTGTTATTCTATAACCAAAAGATATTTCATAAGAATGTTTCAAGTGCAACGACAAAGTAAATTGTAATCACACTTGTCTACGCATTCACCTTCAAATCACTTTAAGATGAACAAAATTGACACGCTTTTGTCAACCTTACGATTTCAGCCATTTTGGTTATATCCAGTACCCGGATGTACAGATAGTCTCGAGAGAGAAATTGCCAAGAGGGCCTTTGAGTGAAAAAAATACAAAAATTAGTTAGACCTATGAAACAGCGTGTCTTTCGAATTCCTTCTAGGGTCCTTTCATATCTCTCTTTCTATATTTGTTTATTATACCCGTTAAGTTTACGGCAAAATAATTTGCTTTCTAACAGGGTGCAAACTTCAGGAGAAGTGTTACCTTTTGGCAAGTGCCTATGTATGATCAAAGAAAAACTGAGTGCCACAGACTCGTGGGACAGGTGAAAGGTTAAAGTTATCGCATGCGTAAAGTTATAGGTAGCCTTGGCTAAGCTTTCGGCTTGGGCATTGGACAATAATTCTTTTTTTAAATTATTATTATTACTTTATTTTTTTATTTTTTTTTATAAGCTGTGCATCATGACATTACAATGTATTATAAAAACGGTAAATTTACCCCAATAAGTTGGCTCAACTCCAATGCCCTAAAATTCGAACAAGTGTGCAATAACATTTTTGAATCACTATATTATGTTTTGCACTATGTTTTTAAAGGTGATCTTGTAGTTTTCCGTCCCTTAAAGTCCACGATCCATTTGTTTACTCCCAGAGAGGAAATCCAGAAGTCTTGATGACCAAATAGGCTACACAAAAAGCAGGGATGCAACCTAATTGCAAAACATCAAATTAGGATAAAATTCAGAGGTGCAAGCCCCCCCCCCCTCCATATTTTTATTAGGTCATAGGGGGGGGGGTGCACTGAAACCCCCCTACTCTTGACTTTAACGAACGAAACTACAAAATCGCCGTTTCACATAGCTTTGGTAATTTTTAACGTGCTTTTTTGGGGGGGGGCTTGGAGAGGTTAGTTTTGAGTGAATTAAAGATGGTGGCCTAAGTCAAGTGTGAACATCTCCGAGACGAGAAGTTTTCAAAGAAGCCGACTTTGGAAGATACCGTGGTCAAGTTTGTCTAACAACAATAACAAGGTCACACGCAATTCTAGTCTGACCTCGAGACGACGATGCTAACTTGCAGGGGCGGTGCAACTGATCGGCTGTTGTTCACGTTGCCCCCCCCCCCCCCCAAACATACACAGAGACACATATTTGTCATTGTCTACATCTTCTTTCCCTTCCCTTCACTACACACACACACACACACACACACACACACACACACACACACACACACACACACAGAGAGAGAGAGAGAGAGAGAGAGAGAGAGAGAGAGAGAGAGAGAGAGAGAGAGAGAGAGAGAGAGAGAGAGAGAGAGAGAGAGAGGAGGGGGGAGACATGTATAGAGCACTTTTGGGATAGGCCCGCGGCCACCTTCCACCACATATTTATTAAAAAACCGTTTCCACGTAGCCTACATGATGTGAAAGAGCCAACATTTGACAGTCTCAAGAAACATCTAACAATTAAATATGCCTAGACGATAAAAAATGACGTGGTACTTGATTTTCATTTGTACAAAAATTCCGCCCTTCTGCCTTTTGGAGCAAATTAAGATCTAAGTCGACAACTCTTTTAATGAATATTTCAATTTCACAATGTCTCATGGATAGACGGATTTGCTAACGCATTCATACGATCTTGCCCCTTAGATGGGCGTGTAAAGCCCATGACCCTCTTAAGGTGAGTATACTGCTCTGCCTCGGTTACACACACATGTTCTAAATTTTAACGTCGGCCTAAGTCTGAGTTTCTAGACATTATGAATGAAGTTATTGAGATGGATAGAAAGTGAAATGATCGCCATGGAAAAAAGAAACACTACAACCATACTTGAAAGCAAACTAAAAGTGAGAAGTTTAATCAACTCTTAGTGATAGTTGTTCTGGTCCGCGTACTTAATCCAAAGATTAATATCTCGACGTAAGCCTACACTCGTCTTGTAAATACATGTAATAAGAATTATCCCATGCAGATCAAGCCAAGAATCAGATACGATTTACTTAACACACACGCATTGAACAAAGCAAGCATACAATATTTTCCTCGTCTTATAATCAAATGTTCGTAATTCGTCGCACTTTTCAGACCACTGTTTTAAGTGGGGGACTGTCAAATTGTAATGCTAATTATGGGTGTTTGGTTGTACAGCGTATGGCGGTTGGGGTGTGTTGTTTTCGGCCCAGACTCTGACAGCCGAGTCCCTCTCTACTCGTAAAATTTCCATCTATATTATGACTTGTCGATCCTTGTCATAGACGATCAAGCAATTGGGCCAGGTGATGTTGAATAACAACAGACAAGTTTGATTGAAAGAGAGGCAGAGGCAGACAGAGGGAAAAGCTACCGGACAAGATGACAACATGGCTAGGAGCAGCAAGAACAACAGACACCATTGCTGCAACGCAAGACAGAGTGAAGTGGAGGTCCATGATCACCAACGCCAGTCGGCAAGGCACCGGATGATGATGATGATGTTGAATATGGGGGAGAAAGCGATGACTAGAACAACAAACGAAACCATACCTGGCTAAAAAAATTCAATTTTATTCAACAACGATTAGGGCCGCATAATATGGCTGACAATAATATGTTCTAACTGTAATAGAGACGATTGCTATTGAGTATTTTTCAAGATCGTTGTTCAACCTCATAACATTTAGGAGCAGGCGCGATTCGTCCATAGAGCACGGTCATGCAGTGCCGCCCAAAATGGTTTAATCTTCTATGACGTAAAGCACCCACAATAATAAAATAAAAGACACCAGAAACAAACACTAGCCAAATATTATATCAAAACAAGGCCCTGGTTGGCGCCGTAACTGTCATTTCTATTCTATAGCACCGTAAAACATCTACTATGCCATGCCTAAGTTCATGCGCTGTATCTAAACTTAACAGGATAGTCAACAGTGGAAACCTGACCTACAAATCGCTCTTTGGGATAACCAAAGCGATGACGACACTTGTAGAGAGTTTGGCGATACATTAATATTAATAAGACGGCACATCTCAAATGTGCTCCAGCCGAATAGCGCCGAAACATAGCCCACAGTAGGCAATCTAAAAATAAACGCCATAGACTGTGCACTATTCAATGCCAAAATTCTGTGGGCCCCGGAGAAATCCAGCGGAGTGCTCAAGTGAATTGTGATTGGTTCATTTTCTTGTCGTTATTTTAAGTAGCTCTGTGACCGTGAACCTGAGGGAGGTGAAAGTGACATACTTAAGTCACCGTCCTATGAGTTGTGCTTTTGAACGGTTTTGTAGAGGAGTGGTGAAAGGTACTACTTGAGTGTTCAGTTCTAATGCAGGATGAATGAAATTGATGTTTAGCTAACAAACAGATTTAGTTCTAGAAGTCAAAGCCACAAGTAAAACGAATGAAAATAAAAGCACAAGGTCTTCCTTCACCAACTCAAAGATCCTAAAATTATACATCATCTCATTTACTCTGTCCTTGGTTATCTTCAGCCTCTTCTTCTTCTTCTTCTTCTTCTATCCCGTGGTTGGAGCAACCGTTGTGGCACCACTGCATTGGAAAACCAGCTCTCACCATCTATTTTTGTCCTCTGCTCTCCTCAGATTGTCACCCATCGTCTTTCCTGTCCACTCTGTAATGTTGTCCTCCCATCTCCTTCTCTGTCTTCCTCTCTTTCTCTTTCCTTGTACGGTTCCTTGCAGGATTGTTTTGGCAAGTCCTGTGGATCTTGTGACATGCCCATACCATTTTAGTTTTCGTCTCTTCACTGTGGTCAGTAGATCTTTATATTGCCCCACTGCGTTGGTGATTCTCTTTCGTACTTCAGCATTTGAAACGTGGTCTTTGTACGAGATGTCAAGGAGTCTGCGGTAACATCTCATCTCTGTGGTCTGAATCTTTTCCTCTAATTCTGCTGTTAGTGTCCATGATTCGCAGGCGTATAAAAATATTGAGATGACCAGTGAGCGCATTATTCTAATTTTTTAGCTGTGCGTGATGTTTCTGTCCCTCCAAATAGGCTTCAGTTTTGACAGCGCAGCTGTTGTTTGCGCGATTCTGTGGAGAATTTCTGGTCTTGAGCCTTCTTCTGAGACGATAGATCCGAGGTATTTGAAGCTGTTGACGGGTCTCAAGTTTCTCGCCCCTGACTTTGATGTCCGCATTGATGCCATTGGTGTTATTGGTCATTAGCTTGGTTTTCTCGGCACTGATCTCCATGCCGTAGGCTGCTGAGGTTGTGTCCAGCCGCTCCACTATTGTGGCGAGCTCCTGTTCTTCTCCTGCTAATCCATCGGTGTCATCGGCAAAACGCAAGTTAGTGATTGTCTTGCCTCCAATACTGATTGTTCCATTGTGGTCTTCCAGAGTGTCAGTCATGATTCGTTCTAGGAAGATGTTGAAGAGAGTGGGAGAGAGCAAACAGCCTTTGCCTCACCCCGACCGTTGTCCTGAACCAATCCCCCATGCTGCCATTAAGGTAGACTGCGCTGGAGGCTTTGTCGTATAGTTGTTGTATGACGTTGATCAGGTTGGCGTTGATGTTGTATTTCCTCATGGTTGCCCATAAGGCTGCATGCCAGACCCTGTCGAAGGCCTTTTTAAAATCCACAAAGATACGGTATAGGTTTTGTTGGTGTTGGAGGTACCTCTCGCACAGTATTCTGAGCTTGAAGATCTGTTCTGTTGTGCTGTGCCCTGCTCTAAAGCCTGTCTGCTCTTCGGCAATGATCTCCTCTGCCTGTGGTTTCAATCTGTTCAGCATTATCTTCAACATAACCTCACTGGGGTGGCTTATTAGACTGATGGTGCGGTAATTCTGATATAGTTGCAGGTTACCTTTCTTGGGGAGTGTAATCACTAGTGATTGTGTCCATGGTGTTGGCCACTTTCCTGTCTGCCAGATTTTGTTGCAGATGACAGTCAGAGCGCTTATCATGTCCTTTCCCCCTGCCTGTATCAATTCTCCTGGGATGTTGTCCACTCCTGCTGATTTCCCCTTCTTCAGTGCTTTAACTGCTGCTTCAACTTCTTCTCGAAGGATTGGGTGGTTATCGATGTTGGTTGCTGGGGGAACGTTTAGAATCTCGGGGTTCACCGTGGCTTTGTAGTTGTACAATTCTGAGCAGTATTCTGTCCATCTTTTCAAAATGTCTTGTTCCTCTGTCAGGCATTTTCATTGTTTGTCTTGAATGGTGGTGGTGCGCCCTTCTTTAGTGCATGTCAGGTCTTTTACTAATTGATACGCTTTTTTGCTGTTGTTTGTCCTCAGGCTGCTTTCGATTATTTGGCATTGTTCCTCGATCCAATTTTCTTTTGCCCTTTTCATACTTGTTGTAGTTTTTTGGCTGACTGCTCTGTACTCCTTAGCACCATCTGCTTGCTTCTTTTTCTCCTTTAGTTTTCTCCTTTTGTCACACAGGTTAAGGATGTCAGTTGTGACCCAGGGCTTATTGACTCGTCGGTGTTTTCCGAGGATCTGACTGGCTGTTTCAGTCACTGCTGTATTGAAGGTGTTGATCCACGTGTCCATGTCTGTGTCATTATTGTTACCAGCATCGATGACAGTGAGTGGTGCACACTTTCCTCCTGTCATGGCTTGGAAGCTTCTGCTACTTCTGGGTTCTTTAGTTTTTCGAGATCAAACTTCACCCTTGTGTTTCCGTGCTTTTTAATCCTTTTCAGGTGGGGGTGAAAGTTCATCATCACAAGGTCGTGGTCGATTCCAACGTCTGCTCCTGGGAATGTTCGTGTTTTTCCAATTTTGACACTGGACTGGAAGCGCTTTTTCACCATGATGTAGTCAATCTGGTTGTGATGTTCTCCACTTGGACGGTGCCATGTCCATCTCCGTGATGCTTTGAGCTGGCCAAATGTGTTTGTCAGCACTAGGTTGTTATAGCTGGCAAATTCCAGGAGCCTTAGACCTCTTTCATTTGACTCTGAGTTGCAGTGTTGTCCGCATGTTTCTTTCCAGTTCTTGTATACATCCTTTTCTACTTTTGCATTCCAGTCCCCTTGTACAACGATGATGTATTTTTTAGGGGTCTGGTCTATCACTTCTTGTATCTGGTCGTAGAAGCCCTCCACAGCCTGTTCATCATAGTCTGACGTCGGAGCATATGCCTGAATGATAGTGATGTTGAATGGGACTGCCCTAAAGCGGATGGTAATAAGCCGGCTAGAAATAGGGCGGCAGCCCATGACCGTATTCACGATGTCTTTGTGAATAAAAACTCCAACGCCATTCATATGCGTGTCCTCTTCTCCATTGAAGTACAACTTGTGGCCTTCTTGTTTCGTGATCTCCCCGAATTTCTTCCACCATACTTCGCAAAGTCCAAGTACGGCCCATTGATATCTGTTCATCTCGTACGTAAGCTCTTCTAGTTTTCCGGCTGTTCTCAGTGTCCGTACGTTCCATGTGCCAATGGAGATGTTGTTTCTGGCACGGATCTTCTGTGCATCAGTAGTATACTTTTCACCTCCGTTCTGGTGCACAACAGCGGAAGGCGCGGTCCTTGGTGACCCGGGCGACAACCGATCCGGTATAGTGTCTGAGCTGTTTGTCATTTCATGTGGTGAGTCTTGGGCAGAGAAGCTTGGCGGTGCCCATTCCTCTCCAAGCTCTTAACCGTAGGCCGATGTCCACGAACATGATGTGGGTCGCCCCCGATCGCATACACTTGACCGTTGAGCTCAGCTTGGAGCCCTTCCGCTCTGACCGTTGGGTCCGTCATTGGACCCTTCCGCTCATGGCCGTTGGCTGTTTGATGCTACTCATCCGCCCAGTGGTGCAGTGTAAACACCACCCCCTCACATGGTTTAGTCCGCCAGCTGAAGCGATGTACCGGGGTATGGCGCTGTGGAGCCACATGTGAGAGATTTACAGGATGTTCAAGGACCAGTGATGCCCGTCCGCCCTACCAGGTAGGGTGCAGCACGCCAAACATCAAAGGTACTAGGTACCTCACACAGAGCCCCCTATACTTCAGCCTAAGATAGCATAATTGTGCACTCCCACTTTTTAGACCCACGAGCCGCCCCTGTTTAGGAGGGCCGAAAATAACAAAACAACAACGACAGCAACAATAGCGATGTTAAATTAATACTAAAACGATGTCCTTAGTATATTTTCGCTGTTGTTTGGATGTTAGTTTTACGCACTTAAGAACAAATGAATGCCAGTTTAGATATATGGGATCCAATTGTTCATTATGTCTGTCTCCCCAAGCACTGATTGGGAGAGGGCCATACAACAACTGTATAAACTCCTTGAGAGGGAGATGGAGAGAGAGGGGGGGGGGGAGAGCGACAGACAGACAGACAGACAGACAGACAGACAGACAGACAGACAGACAGACAGACAGACAGACAGACAGACAGACAGAGGTGGGAGCGGCTTGGAATGAGGGTGAGAGGGGGGAGGATCTGTTGTTCTCTGTTACAGAACATCTGGACCTCCATAAAATTATCGTCATCGTGTGTAGTAATGTCTGTAGTGAAGTTAAAAATTTCACGTGTTTGCCGTTGTCACCAAGATAAGAAGGGGGAAAAAACCTAGTTTCTTGAACGAGGCTTCTCACAGCAGTCATGGGCCTTTTGATATAATATGAAGGCCTACATGTGGATCATTAATAATGAGCAAAAACACACTGAGAGTGATTTTAAATCACAGTGGAGGTTGTGTATTAATGTTTCGATTTGTGCTTCATTCTGAGTGCCATTGCTATCACTTTCAAGAGCCATTGATAAGTTTGTCACAAGGGAATGGAAGTAGGGAAGGTTGGTGTCATAGCTATCGGCTGTCGATTGTGACAGGCCAAAGACTCTTCTCAAACAACACTTTGGAG